CTCTCCGTCGTGGGAAAGGAGTTAACACAAAGCTTACAGTAATAGTTAACCTTTTTTTTTCTTTTTAGAAATTTCCTGATTATTCTTTGAGCATTATTCCTTGTGTATTTTCAGTTAACTACATCTAACCAACGAGCTTTGGCCTTTACATATCCCATGACATCATCTGCTATCTGAAATTAGGAAAGGCCGAAGATACGCAACTGAAAGACCGAGGAGTCAAGAAGCAATGTAAGGGCTGATAAGACACTTTTGGATGAATAAAAGAGGCACCTTTGGAAATGTCAAACGTCAGAAATGGGGTCCTAAGACATCAATGAAATAGCCTTAGAGATACACTCGCTAAAAAAGTATCTTTATTCTTTCTGACTTAACAATATGATATGACGACGAAAATTGTTGGAAAAAGTGTTGTAAACTTAACTTATTATTGGTATCCCTGCCAGAAGCGTCATTTAGGGGAGGGTTGGGAGGGCAGTTGCTCCCCCAATACTCTGCCTCCCCCTGTTCTGGTTCCCCTACCCCCATTTGACATTTTTACTTCATACATCTAAATCGAGCCTGTTATAGCTTAAAATGCCCCTAGAACATTATTATTCAAAATTTTTGTTCACTTCACTCGACTACATCTACAGTTATGTAGTTATGTAGTAGATCAGCGAATGCTGGCAGGTCTACATAACGCTCTCATACTGTAATTGCTCGGGCAATGACGATGTTACAGCTGTAGATATGATCTTGGGGGAAGTCAAACATTGTCAATGGGCTTGAGTTTTGGCGATTTGGGTGAATGTGGCACAGCATAATCTTGCCAAAATCAAGCCTTCAAGACACTGATCATATGGATGGGGCTGTTATCCTGGACGAGGTAAAATGGCCATGGCTTGGGAACACTATCGCCCTCACCCATTTTCAAAACCAGTCAAAACCGAGATCTCACCAGTAGGTGTTCCATCTCAAGAAGCTCAAGAGTGAGGAGGTGGCTCAGGAGTATGCAGAGGTAGTCTCAAATCGGTTTGAAGTGCTTGGTACTCTACAGGACCCTGCTGAACTGTGGGATACCTTTAAGCAGGAAACAATTGCCGAGGAGTGCCTTGGGGTCCGACCTCGGTGAAGGAGGCGTGTCTCAGATGAGACACTGAACACTATAGAGATGAGTCGTGCTGTCAGACTGGATGGAAACCATGTCTTGCACAGGGAGCTGTCTGCTAAGGCCTCTTTGAGAGTGAACCAAGGCATTGTGGAAGAGTTGGAAGGTCATTTTGCCCAAAATGACCTTCGACCTGCTTTCCGAGCCTTGAGGGAACTCCGGTCAAAGTCCATCTCTCAACTGGGCTTTGTGAGGGCAGAGGATGGTCGCATTGTGTCAGAGACAGGTGAGTATAGGGCCCGCTGGGCTGAGTATTTTGAGCAACTGTATGAAGTAGATCCCCCGTCTTCACAACTCCCGTTGGCTGGCACACAGCCACTACTGGCTGATCCACTAATCAGTGAGGCACCACCTTCCACTGAAGAGGTGAGAAGAGCGGTCTCTAAGCTGAAGAGCGGAAAGGCTGCTTGTGTCTGTGGGATTGCTGCAGAGTTATTGCAGGCAGGTGAAGCCATGATCTGTAGTTTGCATGCAGTCCTGTCTTCCGTTTGGGAGACTGGTACCATTCCTCCTGACTAGAAAAGGGGCTTGGTCATCCCTATCTGGAAAGGGAAAGGGGACCAAAAGGACTGTGTCAACTACAGAGGAATTACATTGCTCAGCGTATCAGGCAAGGTCCTCGCTCGTCTGCTTTTGGCACGAGTGCGCGACCACCTATTACGAGCACAGAGACCTGAGCAGTCTGGTTTTACATCCAAAAAGTCAACTATAGACCGTGTCTTAGCACTGCATGTATTTGTGGAACGATGACTTGAGTTATGTTGCAGCTTATGTTAATCTCAAGAAGGCTTTCGACTCAGTGCACTGGGAGAATCTCTGGAGCCTACGTGGGATCCCCCTGGGATTATTGGTTTGTTGTCTGGCCTGTATACAGATACCGAGAGTACTGTTAAGTGTGGGAAGGGCATCTCTGCCTTTTTCCCGGTGTCTGCTGGGGTGAGACAGGGATGTGTCCTGGCCCCAACCCTTTTCAATAATTGTATGGAATGGATACTTGGCCATGCCGTGAACCGTAGTTCCTGTGGGGTCACAGACCTTGACTTTGCCGATGATGCAGTGATTCTAGCAGAGATATTAGAGATCCTGGAAATGGCTCTCGAGGCGCTGCATGAGGAGGCGAAGCCGTTGGGACTCACGGTTAACTGGACCAAGACCAAGGTTCAGGAATTTGGGGACTTATTGGATGTCGAAATTCAGTCTGTGTATGCTTGTGGCGAGAACATTGAGATCTTGGATAGCTTCACTTATCTTGGTAGTGTAGTGCAGAGTGCCGAAGGTTCCGACCGGGAAGTCACTCGACGACTCGGACTGGCCTACGGCGTTATGGATTCACTCAATAGGAGTATTTGGTGCTGTCGGTATTTAACTAGGAGAACTAAGATCAGGCTCTTCAGAGCACTGGTGATCCCGGTCTTACTCTATGGGTGTGAGACCTGGACACTGAAGAGTACTCTGAAGGCCCGTCTTAACTCATTTGGTACTAAGTGTCTTCGCAGAATCATGGGATATACCTGGAGGGACCATGTGTCCAATCAGAGGATACTCCATGAGACTGATTCAAGACCTATTACCAGTCTGATACGAGAGTGCCAACTTCAGTTCTATGGGCATGTGGCTTGTTTCCCTGAGGAAGATCCGGCTCATAGGGTCATCTCCGAGAGGGTTGGCCCAGGCTGGAGAAGACCAAGGGGAAGGCCACGGAACTCATGGCTGAAGCAAATTGATCAGATCTGCTAAAATGTGCTGGGGGTGGGAAGGAATGCTGCATGGAGGCTCGCTCGGAGGGACCCCAAGAGGTGGAGGCAAAGGTTGGGTGCGGCAAAGCGCAGCCATGCGTATGCCCCCTTAGGATGATGATGATGATGATCCAGTTACTTGGTGTCACTGGATCCACAGAGACAGTTTCAAAATACCTATTCTTGACATTTATATATATATATCCATATATATATATAGGCCTATATATACATAAATGCATACATACATATATAAATATACATGCATACAGACATACATCTTTATATGTAAAGATGCATAAAAGGTTTTTACCTTTTTAGCAAACTTTCACTTCAGTGAAAGGGAGGCTTTGGTGGATGTACATGGCGACTCTGCCTCCACCCCTACCCTCTCGATCCTTCGACATTGATGGTAGTTCCTCAGCGAAAAGACTTCATCTGACACGAGGTTGATTAAATGCGTTTCTTGGAGAACTATAATATCGGGAGCATAAGAGAAGGCTAATAATCTAAGATCATTTACTTTAGTTCTAAGACCGTTCCATAGTATGATGGTTAACGCAAAGATTATGTTGTGTGGAGTTTGGAAGGGCCATGTCCGCCGATTTTAATTTTCTTTTTTTTTCTGGGACGGAGGTTCGTCCTCCTCTCCCTCATTACCCTTGGGGCTTCCATGGGTATTTTTGAAGACAGTAACCTCTATGTCCTGCATCTCGCTGCCAGGGAGACGCCCAGTAGATGATCTGTTCCGAGAAACACATCCAAAAATCAGGCAAAGTCCTAGCAGGAGCCACCTGGATGAGGCGTGTCATCCAGATTGTGTTTTGGTATCATTCTACTTATGATGCTGCTGAGGCTGCTTTTGCTGGGTAGACTCAGCAATTTATTGAATTGTATTATTCAATTCTTTAATCTGACTTATTAATTCTTATTAATTCTTTATATTTAGTCGCAAGCTCCTGACTGATGCTGTTTGCATTGGGAGTTTTGTTAGTTGCTGCTGAAGTGTAGGAAGTATTGGGTTTGCTAGTCAGACCTTCAACTTTCCTCTTGGCTTCACGGTAACTAACAGCATGCCCTCTCATGTCTCCTTCTTCAAGCTGCTGCACACGGCAAAGCCAGACTTGAGAGTGTTCTCACTACATTCAGCAGTATCATGTGTCCTTGCACCTGTACCACAAGTAAATTTACTAGTATCTTTATCATTGCATCGTAATGAGGTGTGTCCAAATTTTTGGCATCTATTACAGTGCTTAGGTTTTTTTAATATAAGGTAGCACTTGGACACGGTCGTATCCAACTATGACATACACAATTCGGTCATACAGTTGACATCTACTATATAATCTCCTCCGTTGTCCTCAAATCCCTGTTAAAGATTACTCCTTTGCAGGTATTGGGCCAATAGGGATAGTTAATTTAACTTTCAAATCATGAATCTGCGTCAATTTAATTAAGTCATGAACCTGGGAGTTGAATGGCACTTTTACAAGGAGGTTACCATCTCGCAATTTACGGACCAAATCAATATCGCCGTCCGTTTAAAAGCGATTGATTTTCATTTCACTCTGGGCCCGTGCCCGTTATCCTGAAGATAACTCTCAACTATTAATGATCAACCTAACAGCAATAGCTAAGAGAAGAGTACAGCAGTTTCCGTCCTCTACCTCCCCAGTGGAAGCCTGGTTGCGTTCTCCAGCACCAAAGAGAGATCGAGTTATGTGGAAGACACCTTACCGTTGAACTATACTATATATGTATAAGTATATTTATATATGTATAAGTATATCCATATATGTATATCTATATATGTATGTGTAAGTACATCTATGTGTATATATATGTAAGTATATCTATATGTATATATATATATATATATATATATATATATATATATATATGCAAGTATATAAGTATCTATATATAAATATCTATTTATATATACAAATATATCTGTATAATTATCTAACTATATACAAATATGTAACTATATATAAATCTAATATATATATATATGAATATAAATATGTATATACACACTCATTTTCTTTTTTTAAGTTTATATTTTTTTCCTACTCTCTCGCACCAGGATATAAAAAACAAAGGCTTGTGTATACTAAAATCCAATTCAAATTTTATTTCATAGTTAAACATCTTTCCAAAATATGATACATTCCATGGGATATAACAAAATTATTTCCATGTTCAAATATCTTCCCAACTTTACAATGTTTATGCAAAAAATACGAAACGTATACCTTCATAACATACATTTCAAACCATGGAATATTATGGTATCTAAGGTTTACCTCATTCTTTAACAAAATAAAAACAATATAAAAATAACCTTAAAACTACTGATACCTTTGAAGAGCAGGCTTCGTTATCATTCTTTCAAACCAAGGATTTTTTTTTAATCCACATTAAACCCATTCCATTTGTTTCCTAACCAAAAACAATATACATATATATAATTTTTGTTTGACAGGTGAATATGAACACTACACTATAGCAACAAGCTATCATGATCTATAAAAAGCATGCTACGATTAGACATCCTCTTTTATGTTGAAAAACAATACTCATTTCGCTTTCTTTTATCTCCAAAGCATTTCATCTGATAATACAACAAAAACTCCAACAGCTGATGAGGGAGTGGTTGTTCCACTTTCTGGCTCTACAATGATATCTCCTTCAATGGCAATAGCTTCAATGGGAACCAAACTGATTCTGCATTCATCTGGAGGTGGTAAAACATAACTCTGTGAAAGAGAAAATGCCAATTAGTTATGAATGTATAAAGACAATGGTATATGTGTATATATATGTATATAAATATATATATATATATATATATATGTATATTTATATATATATTCTATATATATGTATATTATATATATATATATATATATATATATATATATATATATATATATATATATATATATATATATATACATATATCTGTATATTATATATGTATGTGTATGTATGTGTGTATATTCATGAGTTCATATGTATATGAACTCATTCATTATTCTCACTACTTATTCTGTCTCTTCATAACCCTCTCACACCAAGTCCATGTTATGCTCACACATTCTCACATTTTTTTTTCATCTCATTCTCCCTCTAATCCAGTCTACCTGCCTCACTGCCAACTAAAAATTTTCTTGATGTATTACCTTACTTATGGAGAACTCAGGCTGATAATAGTCATACACCTTAATAGTCCCAGGCTTGGCATCTTCAACATCAATTTCCCGAATTACTCGGAACTCCACACAAAGGTCTTCAGGTGAAAATTCATCAATGTAGAACATAACTCTGCTGCCATCAACTTCATAGCGTTTTATTATGCCAGTTCCATAACCAACAATTTGTTTAAGGTCCGCTTTATGTGGTATGTATCCAGAAATTAAGTTAAATTCCATAACAGCCATGTTGGATTTCTGATCAGATAGTAAGTAGGAAGCACAAGCCTTAATCTTCTTTGTAATGCATTTCCTATCTGGGATTGTTTCAGTGGTGATTGACAAGGAAAAGGCATCACTTGCTGTAGCATCTGGAACATTATATCTCAGGACAGTCTGGGGGGAAAATAACAACTTTGAAATACATCTGTTATAGTTTTGGCCTGTATGAGCAGAGGTTCCCAAATAAGAGGGGAGAAGGGAGGGGAGATGGAGAGAAAAAGAGGGGGGGAGGGGGGAGAAGAGAGAGAAGGGAGGAGAGAGAGTGAGAGAGAGAGAGAGAGAGAGAGAGAGAGAGAGAGAGAGAGAGAGAGAGAGAGAGAGAGAGAGAGAGGAGGAGAGAGAGAGAGAGAGAGAGAGAGGACTGGAGGGAGAAGAGGGTGGGGAGGGGAGGGGGAGAGGGAAAGGGGGAAGAAAAAGAGGGTGAGGGAGAGAGAACGAGGGAAGAAGAGAACAAGAAGGGGGAAGAAGATAGAAAAGGTAAGGGAAAGGGGTAGGGAAAGAAGCAGACAAACAAAAGAATTGGGACATTACAAATGTACTCATTTCTATATTACTTAACAATCTGCAAAACCTGTATCAAAACTAAACTGAATCTACATCCTTCTTGCAACACTCACCTGAACAAGGGCACATCCTTCTCCCTCCATGTCCAGAATGACATTGGAAGGTAGTGATGGCAGATTCACTTGCTGTTGAAGAAGTTTATTGGATTCGTCTACAAAGAATGCATGCTCAAGTGCTTCGCCTTCCACAGTGATGACCAGGTTGACAGCCTCTTTCTTTTGGTGAGCCTCGAAACTCGCCAGAGCTTGGAGTGCAACAACAGTATCCTGTAAATGAAATTATATCAAATTTTCATTACTTTTTTCTCATTACGTGCTTATGTATATATGAATATGAATGTAAATGAAAATGAAAATGTAATTTGTAAATAACTGTTTCATCCTTTACCTCAATCTATGGTAGTCCATCTTGGCAAGCTGCCAGGCAGATCAACGGACCATCTCAACCTCACCACAACAGAATTTATTTATTCTTTGCCAATTCACACACATTGGAATGCACACATATCTTTTATATATTTTTACATATATAAATATAAATATTCATATACATATATAGACATACATATGTA